AGGGTTGGAACTATTATCTAAAATTTTATATCTTATGTAGACGTTGTACATATATTTTTTCCTTCATTGATTTAGTCAACTACGTCCGTTTTCAAAAATTTAAATTGCAAAATGTGTGGGAAAAAAATTGTATTTTTATTATAAATATATTTTATGTAATAATATAAATTTAAAACAAATAAGATTATATAAATATATTGGAGAGAGATTCGGTTTATTAAAGAGGGATTTTAGGAAATTTTTTGATGTAATAAATATTTGGTTTCCAATTTTGGGATTTGCTTGTGATTTAATTATCAAATTTACTTTTAAGTTTTGTTATTTATTCAAATGGCAAGAGTTTGATTATGCAAATATTACAAAATAAAAGGTTATAAGCCAAAATAGATTTTAGTACAAAATGTACTTCAAAAATGTTAAGATAGATATAAACAAAACGCAGAAACAAACCAAAGTAACGTTTTCTCCTAAACGTTCATCTAGTGTCTATCTGGACAATGTAGATGGGTTTCTTAATGGGCTTTCAATAAGGTCCATTGATTTAAAATTCAAAATTTTAAACCCGTCTGGATTCGCAGAAGAGAACACTTGATGAAGAATTCGAAATTTTGACTCTTTCTTCTCATTCTTTTTTCCATAAATCATGTGGTTGAATCTATTATTTAACTTAATTATTCTTCCTTAGGATAAGAGTTTATTACAACTTTCCTCTTTGCATATTCCATAAATACAGATAATTCCCCTAAATAGTATTAGAATGCCACATCATTGCATTGGGCTTTCCTTTATTCAAACACACCAATCCAACTGAAGACACTACCAAACGAGAGAAGGAAACACAACAGTTTCAATTAACTTACTCGCAGCCAAGTTGAGTATATCTTCTGTAATCTGGTTCTCTTCAACCACAAGCTTCTTCAACCATCTAGAAGAGTTGTTGTTCATCACAAAAGCCTCCACATCATCAGACTGCATCAACCGACAACCTACAATGTCTAAAGTCTTCAACTTCAAACCCTGTTTGTTCAAAGCCACCAACACTTCACCTGTCAAATGCTTACAATCTCTCAAACCCAACTCAACCAAACCGTTGCAAGAAGCTAACATCGATACAACTTCTTTGTCGAACAACCACTCGTTCCTTGTCAGATCTAGTTTCCTTAACTTCCTCAAATCCTGTCCTAACGTCGCCAACAAACCACGCTCTCGTTCAATCGCGTTGCAGCTGAGCAATGAAAGCTCTTCAAGACTCGAACTAAAGCTTAAAGCTAGCATCTTTAGACTCAAACCAGACACAAAAGTAGAGCTTGTAAGCCTAATACTAGACAGAGACTTGAAATTCTCAGCCAGAGAGACTAGATGATCATCGTTCAAATCCATAGGTAGACGCAAGTCAAGTCTTTCCAAAGTATCATAACACCTAGCAGCATTGTTCATGAAGTGAACCAACCCATCTTTGCTTCCACCATCATGTATCAACAGAGACTTCAAAGACTCACAAATCTCTGTAACTTTCAGCAAGACAACATCAACCACACTCCTACACGTTATTAACTCAATCTCTTCCACGTTCTTCAGACACAACCCGAAGAACTCGGATTCTCCAACGCTTCCGCAATGTTTCAGTTTCAGTTTCTTTAACTTTCTGCAACTCCTCCATAACCAGGTAACTCGAGTATCATCAGATTGGATTCCGGATAAAGAAACCGATTCCAAACCCAATTCTACAACTTCCGGGTTTGGATTAGACCCGGAAGCTGGAGAACTCGTTGACTGAACATCGATTGATAACTCCTTGAGAGATGAAAACAGAGCAATCCAAGTGAAATCTGAGTTTTGTGGTTTCCACAGTTTGATAGATAGAGAAGTGAGAGATAAAGAAGTAGCCAGAGGAAGCAAAGAAGATGAAGAGATAGGATTGATCAAGAAACTGAAATTTTTGAGATTGAAGCAGCAAGAAGATATGATTGAGATGAGTTCATCGTTAAAACTCGTTTGAGCCTTGAGAGACTCGTCATAAGAACGAATTGGGTTTGTGGCTTTGGTTCTGATGGTGACAGGGAAGCAGAGATTGAGGGAAGAGAGAGAAGGATGGTTACGGAGGATAGAGGGCAAAAGGGTCATCACAGAACCGTCGTGAGGACTGAATTGTAAAGACATGGAAGTCTTTGATGCTCTGTAGAGACGAAGCCATCGCTTTGAAACAAGAGGAACCGATTCGAAAGAAGGTAACGAAGAAGAAGACGATGACAACCTTGTAAATATCTCGCCAAGAATATCATCGAATAAAACTTCTTCCATTTCTGCAGAGATTGAATTGAGAAGAAGACGATTAAAGAAGGATCTTGATGAGGTTCTTGGCCTTTCTTGTTCGTGGCTTTGGTTCTTCTTGACACTTGTGTTGTTGTTTGATTCTTGAGTCACGCAAGAGACGCAAAATAAAAAAATAAGGATTTGATAAGTTGAGTTGTGTTTGTCGTATGAAAAATTCTTACATTTATAATTAATAGCATTCATTTTTAAATATAGATTTAAATCACATTTATATGTTAATTGAAAAAAATGATTTTTATAACGTAAAGTTATGTATGTGAGTGTAATTAGCATTTAGTTAGGTGTTTTTTTCTTTAACGTTAGCATAGTTAAATATGTTTAGTGCACTAAATTATTCTATCAGAAAAAAGTCATTCTTCTTTTAATTTGTTTGTTGACATTGTAAAGAATCGAATATTATAATTTATCCAAATAAAATAAGTACAGAAAAAAGAATCTATTAGTCCTAATCAACTGAGAGAAGAACCAATCTCCCTCAATTATGTTAATAAATTTGTGAAATTAATAATTTATTTTCTATCACTTTTACAAAATTAGGTGAGAGAGGTTAAACAAAGGTGTTAGGTGCTTTTTGCTTAAAGATAAAATTAAAATGTCGTTAAAGAAAGATAAAAAGACATCTTTCTTAAATACGATGACAAGTGCGTGAAGTAAAGTCATGTTTGTGTAAGAAAACAAAATTCACTAATTCAGCTTGTATCAATTAACTTCTAGAAATAAGGAAATATGACTCAATACTTTTTAATGTTTTAGTCTTTTGATTCGAAAAGATTATTTTGTCCATCTTATCATTTAGAGCTTTGATCTCTTTGCAATGTTGCTCATTCAAGTCCTTTATATTTCTTGAGGTACGGTCATAGTCATCACCGTAGCTACCATTGCTTTGTGCAAGATTCTTCACCAAAGTCATCCCTTCATCCACATCCTTACTCAAAAAATTATCATTGCTCGCGGTATTCAATTACATACGGATTTGGGGTTGCACTCCTCTATACAAGGTATTAAAAAAAGACTTCTTGTTAAAACTGTGCTGAGGTCATTAGAGTTGATATTATTTGAACCGGATAAAATCCTACATCAATTTAACCTTTGCAAATTTTGTTGATAAATTTAATACGAAAAACATTTTCAAACAAAAATTTAGTGACATCATCCACAAAATACAGTATTTAAAACGCTTTATGCCAAACTCGTGTATGAAATATAGTAATCTGTTTTAAATATATGTTTTACATGGATTATATTTTGTACAAAAAAATTTATGTCAAAGTTTTGGATATGAAATAATAGATCATTTTTAGTTAAAAAATTGGTTATATTTAGCATTTCTATTATTTATTATATTAGTCTTTAAGAAATTAAAGAATACTTCATGAACTACATTATAAATGATAGTTTAGAAATCATCCCAAATTTTCATATCATTTTTGTGAATAGAGAACCACTTTAAACTTTTAATTATCTGTACTGTATATTGAACTTGCACATAATATTCACTTATGAAAATCAGTGTTGCAACCAGTGTTCTATGCTATTTTCATATGAATCTTTTCATTTAACGGGAATTTTTTATAAACCAAAATATAAATTGATGATCAAGTTTTTTTATTATGTTGGTCTTCTAAGGAGTCCACCAAGATATTGGTACTTTGTTTACCTCGTGAAAATTATTATACAAGCAATCAGAAAAGTATGTCAAATTGATATTTTTATAGCTATATATGGAAGGTGTGATAATAATTTAGAAATTTTACTGAATATTATACAAGTATATGAGTTTTCAATTTTCTAGAAATTTCTCATTCGTGATCGTTGTTTATAAAATAATAATATTTATATTATTTTTAAAATTTTCAAAGACAGTTACGTGTTTAACCAAAATAATGAATTGGCATTTGCTATTAGATAATACTACTAATAAGACAATCATTTTTTTTTGGAGCTTCTACTCTCAATGTTAATGTTGTTAAGAAAATATTGTAAATAGGTCAATTGAAAGGTTAGAAACTAATCTAATGGTGACCTATCCGAATCCTAAGAAAAAAATATAATTGAGAAGCGCAATTAAATTTTCTTTTTTTTTGGAAATATAAAGGGAATGAAGATTTGTTAATGATATACTCCATCTATTCCATATTACAAGACATTAGCTATAAATTCAACCGGTAGAAAGAATAGTGCAAGATTTAAATAGTTATAAACAAGAAAAACTAATATAAATTTTGCATAGAAACTTGAGAAAATCTTATAAAATGGAACAAAAAACAAAAGTGTAAAACATCTTATATTAGAACATAGGGCATATATATCTATATGAATATATATGTCCTAATCCAAATTAAAAATTTTGGATTTATTAAACATTAGTTTTTTTTGTCGACTATAAACTATTTTTTTAATATAAACCTTACCTTCAACATTACTTTCAAGCTCAAGATCCAGATGGACCTTACACAGTGCCTCCAGAAGACGAGTAACACCTTGCCAAAAAGATTACAAGAAAAAAATACATTACAAGAACACATTAGAATTGAAATCTACCCAACCAAGTGGCTAAGTAGGACATCTGAGGAGGAACCACCCGTTGGGCTCTAGACAGCGGGTCAAGATGACATCTGAGGATGCTTTTGACCTCCACAATGAGGGCCGCCGACGGTCTTGAGATCGAGCTGTGAAGCCTTGAATTCCTTTCTTTCCAGAGAGCATACATGGAGGCTTGAAAGGCTAACCTGAGAATCATAGCCACATTCTTGTCTTGGCATGGATTCTTTAGCCATCTAACACCATCTTCGAATAATCTCGGAGGAGAGACATGGGCCTTAATCGTGAAATAGGACCAAACCTCCGCAGCATACGAGCAGTTGAAGAAGAGATGCTGCCTGGTCTCATCCTGAGAATTACACAAAAGACACAGAGAAGGGACAGCCAATCCCCAACCAATCAATCTGTCTCTAGTATGAATCCTGTTGCGAGCAATAATCCATGCTATAAAAGCATGTTTCGGAATCCTACCCTTAAACCAGATTGCATCGAACCAAGCAACTTTGGGACCTTGAGGATTCAGATGTTCCCAAGTCTTCGTTGCCGAGAAAACATCCGAGGGTTCATTGCTTCCAATTTTCCAGAGAAAAGAATCATCTTCAGCCTCCTCTTCAGAATTTACTATAGTGGGCGCTGGAAGGATATCTTTTAATAGGCAGACAATAGGATGTCTGGTTCTGTAGCTAGACAACCACCAATCACCTTCCCGAATCGCCTCAGCCACTGTTGCGGAAATTGGTAGACCCGAGATCATCGGTCCCATCTCCCCTGTAATATCCAACAAAGGTCCCAACAACGTCCAATTCTCACTCCAGAAATTGCAAGTGAGACCAGAACCCAGCCTGCAGATAATGAAAGGCCTTGCTAATGGACGCAACTTGCAAAGGCTCTTCCAAATCCAGCTTCCAGAGTTAGATACCTCCATTTCCCAGAAATTTCGTTGCCCAATAAGATTCCTCCTTATCCAAGCAACCCATAATGATCCCCCTGCTGCAAAAATCATCCAGATAAGCTTCAGGCCCAATACCTTGTTCCAAGGCATTAGTCTCCTTAAACCCAGACCCCCTGATTCCTTTGAAGTGCATATAGATTCCCAGCTGACTTTTGCTCCTCTAGCAGAGTCAGGAGCACCTTTCCACAAAAAAGCGCTGCACATCCTTTCTATTGCTTCTAAGCACTTATTGGGGAGGATAAAGACTGAAGCCCAAAAAGTGATAGAAGAGTAGATCACAGATTTGATTAGCTGAAGACGACCAGCAAAAGAGAGGTGCTTTACCGTCCAAGAGTTGAACCGGCTTCTGATTTTATCCAAGAGAGGCTGATAATCATGTTGAGTCATCTTTTTTGTGGTGAGAGGGACCCCCAAATAACGGACCGGGAGAGATCCTTGCTGAATTCCCACATTAGCTGCAATCCTCTGAATCTCCTGGTTATTTCCCCCATCCAGAAAGAGCTCAGTCTTGGATCTGTTTATTCCCAGCCCCGACTCCTCCTTAAACTCCTCTAGAATCTTCAATATTCCTTGCAAAGAGGACTCTCCACCATCAAAAAATATCAAAACATCGTCTGCAAAGCTAAGATGAGTGATAAGAGGCGCATCACAAAACGGATGAGTACCAAACTCTTGGTTCACTGCTCCTTTATCAAGTTTCTTAGATAAAACGTCCATAGCTAGCACAAACAACAGCGAAGAGATAGGATCACCCTGCCTGAGACCTTTCTTTCCTGGAAAATACCCAACCAACTCACCATTATCGACTATAAACATTAGTTCTTATAACAATAAATTAAGCATACTCAACAGAATGTGACCAAGTAATATAAGAAGTCTTGATGTGTAGCTTCTAGTTGTCCTAGTTATAGTTCTAGGAAGTTGTCGCATACCTAAAAAAAAAATTGTAATACTTTGTATCACTGGACTAGTGTCTATAATTACAAGTATCTAAAGTCTTATGCTAAATTTAGAAAAGTATGAGAATTTGGGGACTAAAAATCCCAAAAAGCCAAACACAACAAAAGCTGTTCACTTTTCTCTCCCCCGAGCACCTGAAAAAATCGAAATCTATCATCGGAGCGTGAACAACAACATACAACACTCTCTCCTTCTCTTTGCAAAAATCTAGAACGAATGCTAAAACGACAACGAATCTTCCCTCACCACCAATAAAATTCCGCCACGTCATCGTCGTTTCCTTCTGTTTTTTTCCCCCTTTCCATAAACCCTCTAAAAACCCCTTCTTTTTAGGGTTTGTTTCAATCTCTCATCCATCTTCAAGCTCTCTCTCTCTCTCACTGATACTTTACCATCACTGTTCACTCAGTAAAGCTACAAGCTTCTTCTTCAACTACTCTATTCTGCTTGCGTTGATGTAGCAAAACAAGCGAAACAAAGAATGGTTCGTTTCTCGTTCTGCTTCGTCTTCCTCGCTCTCTTGCTATCGGCTGGAGAGATTTCATCGCAGCTGGGTTCTGGTCCACACATTACCGATGTTAACATACTCTTACCTCCGAAGATGAAGAACCCAGTTGAGTATCGCCTTCAAGGAAGTGATGGCTGCTTCAAATGGTACATTTGCTAAGCTTGATTGAGGGAATGATTGCTTTGTAATAGAGCTTCAATGATGATTAAAGGGATGCTTAATTTGTTATATCGTCTCTTGATTACTTGATTTTTTTGGGGATTTGCGGCAATGATGTTCATTTCTGGATATGTTTGCTGCTTCGTTTTAGAGTTGGGAAACTTAATTCAAGAGATGCGAACTAATGGTAGATACTGGATTTTAGATTTTCTCTGTACTGTTAGTATGAAAGTTTTTTTCTTCTCAATTCGTAGCTGTGCTGTTAGACTGTGTCTGCTGCTGTTTTTCTTGTGAATACTTTTAACTGAATAATTTTATTCCTTGTGTATTGTTGAATTTTAAAATGTGTGAATGATAAAGTGATTACAAATCTTGTTTTTGTTTTTGTTTTTAATATGTAGGTCATGGGATCATCACGATATTCTGTCAGTTACACCTGAGTTTAATTCGAGTAGTCATTGCTCGACCAGCGCGCGTGTGAAATCCATTGCCTCTTATAGTGGTAGAAAGGAGACTGCAGTTTATGCCACTGATTTACAGACCGGGATGGTGATCCGCTGCAAGGTGTTTATTGACAACTTCTCACGGATTCAAATTTTTCATAATTCTATCAAGCTTGATCTTGATGGACTTTCCATGCTTAGAGTCCGCGCTTTTGACAATGAAGGTTAGTCCTTTCGAACTGTGTCGTTTCACAGAGTTTTCTTCATTTCTGCTTGATATTTGGGTTTTAGCTTACCATCGACATTCTTAAGAGTTATAAGTCTATAGCCTAATGTTTTGATACAATGCACTGTTCTTCTTCATCTTTTGCTGTAATTTTTGGATTTTCTGAAATCTATCTGTAGACAATGAGTTCTCGTCACTGGTGGGTCTACAATTCATGTGGAAGTTGATGCCTGAAAGTGGGGGAACAACGCATCACCTTGCTCATGTGCCTTTAAAGGAATCTCCGTTGACTGACTGTGGTGGACTGTGTGGCTATTTGGATATCCAGAAAAAGCTTGAAGATAGTGTATGTATATCTATTGATTGTGAATTACTGAATCTAAAAATTTGATGGATGAGAGATCTAATGTGGCATGGTAACTGCAGGGTGTATTTGCAGATTTGTTTGTCGTGAAGGGAACCAAAATTGGACATGAGAAGGTTTCAGTTCATCTGCTTGAGGCTCCTCTTACACATATAGCAGATGAAATAGTACTAACGGTAGCAGAAGCCATGTCTCTTGAACCTCGTTCACCAGTCTTTGTCATGATGGGAGCTTCTTTTGGTTACACGTTAAAGGTCATGCGTGGACATGTTCCTCAAGGTTTGTCTGCATCTTGGAGACTAGTTATTTAGCAGTGTGTGAGTTATTCGATAACCTTGTGTGTTTAAAGCTGAGTTTTCTCGATACATATGTCAAATGAAAACAATGTATAGAGCATCCTTGTATATTTTTATATTAAACTGGCAGAATTAATCGGTTTAGGATGTTTAGTGGTGTTGATTCATATTTTAACTACTTGTTACTGTAGCTCAAGTGTGACATGCTATGTTATGTTGCTTTCCAGTCTCGTTCTTGATTGGTATATTGTTTATTTTATTTGCAGCCGTGCATCTACCATCATCACATCATAGATGGTCTGCGTTGAACTCTTCTGTTGCTCAAGTGGATTCTTTGCGAGGTCTGACTAAGGCATTAAGCTTGGGTGTAACAACAGTTGTTGTCGAGGATACCCGGGTCGCTGGCCACATTCAAGGATCATCTATTAATGTTGTCACTCCAGATACTCTTATCTTGTACATATCACTGTGGTCAATGTCAGATGATCTTATCACAGAATCAAAACCTTTTCCATCATCCATGCATTGGTATGTGGTGTCTGGTCGTCAATATCTAATTCAAATGAAGATTTTCTCTGGAAGACCTGATTCACATGAAATCTATATAACTGAGGTATTGCTCTTTTCTTTTACCTGTTTAGCATGCCCACATGTACTTTGTATCAGTTTCTTTGTCTGACAGTGTTACGTTGCCTCTGTATTTTCTAACAGTAGGACGTGGTCAATAATTTATGTATCTTTAGGTTGTCAATCAATTGTCCATAAGCTTGTAAGGGTAACCACAATGTCTTTGGTCTTGAGTCTCTTCATACTGATATTGCGTTCTTTTTTTGGAGAGGAAATATACTGAAGAAAAGCCTGATGACATGTCTTTTGTGGCTGTTTAATTTCTCATTGCTGTTCATTTGATTGCTTTGAAGTTTATCTTTCTTTTGCTGAGTTTTGTCCAGATGATTTATTGTACATATAATATTGCAGGTATGTTCAACATAATAATTTTCTTTGTGTTGATTGCAGACGGATGACATAAAACTGCATGGAAGCGATTCAGATTATTGGAAAATTCTCTCACTGCCAGATGAACTTCCCTCTGAATATGGTCAGCGAAATTCTAGAATTTTGAACGCAATCTCACCAGGACTAGGAGAGCTCACAGCTACATTGACTTACTTCAATGGGCATGAGGACTCAAAAGAGGTGTGAAAAATTAGATATTTTTGGAACCCTTTTTGTCTCATTTCATTTGTTGATACTGCTGGTTCAACAACTTCGTCTCTAGCAGGTTCTCAAGGTTGTTCAAGAAATTATGGTTTGTGAAAGAGTACAGTTCACATTAAACAGTGAAGATGACATACCTAAGATTCTACTCCCTTGGACCCCTGCTGTTTATCAGGAGATGGAGCTAATTGTGACAGGAGGTCAGCTCCCAATCTATGGTTCTCATGACATTTCCAGTTTGAAAACCTTGGTGACTTGATGATTGTTCTCCTCATTGTAGGTTGTGCAAAAGCATCGAGTGACTACAAGTGGTTTACTTCAGATATGAGCATTTTGTCTGTGTCAGCTTATGGAATTATTCAGGCAAAGAGGCCTGGAATAGCCACTGTAAAGGTGGTGTCGACTTTTGATTCACAAAATTATGATGAGGTACTTTTTTGCATATTTTTCCATTTGTTGTTGCTTCAGCAAATATATATATATATTTTTTTGTTTTTTTTTTTTAAATTCGAAGAGGCATGGATCATAAATTAACCCATATGATGAAACTCTTTATTACGGTGCTGATTATTTTATTCTTCATAGGTTAGTGTTGAAGTTTCCATTCCATCCTCTATGGTTATGCTGCAAAATTTTCCAGTAGAGACAGTTGTTGGATCACACCTGCAAGCAGCTGTCACAATGAAGGCTTTGAATGGTTATAACCGGACCTGTCTTTTGTTACTTGTGCTGTTTATTGATCATATCTCTTTTTTGTTTGCTTTATTTTCTTTTAAATTGTTAACTTGGAGCTCTTATATATCAGGTGCTTCGTTCTCCAAATGTGATACTTTTAATTCATTGATAAAGTGGAAGACGGGGAGTGACTCTTTTGTTATTGTTAATGCAACATCTGAGATGATGATGTTGGACGAATTAAGAAGCATAGACTCCAGTCCTCCTTGTTCACGGGCCTATATATATACTTCATCTCCTGGTCGCACAGTGCTACAAGCAACTCTAGCAAAAGAGTTTCATTATTTTGATAAGTCTTTAAGTGAATCAATAGATTTGAAAGCAACTTTGAGTATAGGATCTTATCTGCCACTTTCTGTCAGACAAGATAGTGATGGGAATCATCATGGTGGTTACTGGTTTGATAAGGCACAAGAAGAAACTGAATTTGGTGTTAGTAAGCTATATCTTGTACCTGGGACATATGTTGATGTCATGCTTCTTGGGGGACCTGAAAGGTGGGATAGCAATGTTGAGTTCACCGAGACTGTGAAGACATTGTATGAAGATGAAGAGGGTCTTACAAGCAGAGTTAACGTCCATCATGAGTTTGACAGCAATGCTACTATGTATAAAATTTCGTGCCAGAAGCTTGGCTCCTATGTAAGTTGCTGACATTCTGTGTGATTATTAATTTGTTGCTAATTCTTTTTATACCTAAAGTGAAAGATGACGCTGACACCTCTTCACTGCTTGTATGTATCCAGAAACTGGTCTTCTTGCGTGGGAATCTTGTGGGTATAGACCATCCTTTACCTGCAGTGGCAGAAGCTTTATTGTCTGTTCATTGCAGCTTACCATCCTCTGTTGTACTTATTGTTGATGAACCTGGTATGTTCAATACCTCCACTTCCATAGGTTGGATGTTTCATAGTTTCTCTAAGAGTTGATTTACCTCCATTGTTTAAATATGCCATGATTTGCTCATGACATGGGGTTATACATGTCATTTTACAGTTAACAAGCTTGATGTGATTAGAGCTGCTAGTCAAGCTGACAGGGCACCAGGAAGAATTCGTGTAACTCCTGTGACCGTGGCAAATGGGCAGATAATCCGTGTGGCTGCTGTTGGTATTAGCGAATTTGGAGAAGCTTTCTCAAACTCCTCAACTCTTTCTCTCAGGTGGGAATTGAGCAGTTGCACAAATTTGGCTTACTGGGACGATGATTATAACACAAAAATGACAAAGTCTAGCTGGGAGAGATTTCTAGCTCTTCACAATGAATCAGGATTGGTAAAGACATTAACCGATTCCCTTGTGTAGTTCATTATTACCGATGTGAAATTATATATCTTTTACTATATACTGTTTTGACAGTGCACTGTTCGAGCCATGGTTTCTGGTATTGATTATTCTGTAAAAAGCCAATACTCAAGTCTGCTTCCACAAGGTTCTGAAAGTACCCTCACCGATGCTGTACACTTACAGGTATGCATGTTGGAAGACTTATTGTAATAGCTTTATTCATTACTCCCACATTTCTTTATCATCTATTCACGCTTAAGGCTCCAATGAGATTTTCCTTTGGTTATCTGAATTACCTTGTTACTATCTCAGAGACGGCTGTAGTTTTTTCTTATTTCTGTAAATTGGATGAATATGCAGTTGGTTTCCACACTAAGAGTCACACCAGAGTTCAGCCTGGTCTTTTTCAATCCTAATGCCAAGGTAAATCTTACTATTTAGCAAGCGTATCGTTTGGTGCATACTTTGATACATTGAAAGCATTGATGGCTTGAGTATTTGCATTTCCCTGTATCTATTTTGGTCTCTGGTTCTACATGTTTTGAGAGCACCAGAACTAGGTTTGTAGTACTAATTCAATAGTTTTCCAACCAAAGGTAAATTTGTCAATGACTGGAGGAAGCTGTTTGTGGGAAGCAGTTGTGAATAATTCTCGTGTAGCAGAAGTTATACGGCCCCCATCTGGCCTGCAATGCTCGCAAATGATGCTGTCTCCAAAAGGGTTGGGGACTACACTCGTAACAGTATATGATATTGGGGTTTCTCCTCCACTTTCAGCTCTTGCGTTGGTAAGTGTGTGCTCTAAACATGATAAGCTGATTTTGGAAACTAGTGGGATTGTATTGATTTGTTAATGTACGATGAATGACTATGACTTCTAATGGGGAATATTTTGGGGCCTGTTGTGTGGAAATCAGTGTCTGAATTCTCACTCTTGACTCTAGTCTAGAACAGAATGATTTTCATGAACCCTGAAAATTTCATGCAATTTTTATCATACAGATTAGAGTTGCAGATGTGGACTGGATAAAGATAGCATCTGCGGATGAGATAAGTATAATGGTATGTTTAGCGTTTATCCCTTTCTTTCGTATTGTACTGTTCACTGCCCGTTTTTATTTCTTTTTTGGTTATACATTGCTTTCTGTGATTTCTAGTATGGTATTCTCATGCTTAAATTTTTGGGACAGGAAGGAAGTACATACTCCATTGATCTCTTGACTGGCATTGACGATGGGATGACCTTTGATTCTTCCCAGGTTTAAGACGGAACTTTTGTAGATACTTAAGTTCACATGTTCTTGTTTTCTTTCTCTAACATGTTATGAAAATAAGCATTGTCTATCTAGCTACACTAATCTAATATATCTGTTTTTTTATATATAATATTGATCAATGTTAGACAAAAGATATTTTGTACTGCAGTGTCTATTTATTATGATATTTTTTTTATTAGATATTCATACAAGTTATTGATTGGTGAACTGTCAATAAGTGCAGTACCCACTTATGGACATTATGGTGCATATTGAGGATGATCTCCTGGAGCATGTCACCGTTGATGATAATATACTCTCTGTTGGTGAACACGTGGCAACTTCCTCTTTTAAAGTTGCTGCTAGACGACTGGGAATAACAACCCTATATGTGGGTTTTCTTCTTGACTCTGTCCTTAGTGATGGATTTGTTCTAGAACTAGGACATTTAGGTACATCTGAAGGAATTTTTTTTTATAGGTCAGCGCAAGACAACAATCAGGAGATAAAGTAGTAAGCCAAACTATTAAAGTCGAAGTTTATTCCCCTCCAAGACTTCACCCACAAGGAATATTTCTTGTTCCCGGTGCTTCGTACGTGGTATAATATATGAATTTTTTTTATGTTTCTCTTTTAATCTCGAGATTTGGGTCAGTGTCTGAGGATGATCTTTTGCACTTAATAGCTCACTGTTGAAGGAGGCCCGACCATGAATGTTTCTGTTGACTACACCACTGTGGATACCCAAGTTGCAAAGATTGAAAAATCAGGACGCCTATACGCAACATCACCCGGCAACACGGTAGGGGCAAAATGCTTTGAATCTACCTTATCTTTTCAATACTCAAATCCATTATAGCAGAACAAAATTTGGCTATAAAATAATTTCCAGCTACGCTTTATGGAAAGATGTGGACTCGAAAGATATGACATTTAACCTTGTTTCTTTTGTGACCAGACAATCTATGCAGCTATTTACGGGAGTGAAGGTACTGTGATTTGTCAGGCAAAAGGCAATGCTGAAGTAGGACTTCCTACGGCTGCAATGCTGGTAGCTCAAAGTGACACTGTGGCCGTTGGTCATGAATTGCCTATGTCCCCATCATTTCCTGAGGTGAGAATCATTAGCCAGAAAGAACTTTGCTGCTTAAGTTAATTCGTCTGGGTTCTCACTTGCCAAAATCTGATTCTTGGTTACATTATCAGGGAGACCTTTTGTCTTTTTATGAACTCTGCAGAGCATACAAGTGGACTATTGAAGATGAGGAGGTCCAATTCAGTTTTCACCACCTTTACAGTACAACTAGTAATCTATTATTCCGACTCCTGTGTTTATGACATAATGCTCGGTTTTTTTTCTTATTAAGGTGTTGATTTTTATTGCATCATCCATTAATGTGGAAGAGAATGCTGGCTTTGTTAATGTCGTCCAAGGAAGGTAACTAAAGATCATCGCATGTGTACTTGCATTATACTGCACAATAGATTAATAAGATGCAAACCATTGTCCAATTATGGTTTTTTATTTTCAGTTAAGGCTAATTAAAACTTTCCTTATAGGGTTGTTACTTTTCATTAGTCTTAAAAACCTTGCAAGGCATCATCATGCTCAACATCAGACAGCTTTTTAAAGTAGGCATAGCTAGTGCAGTTAGATTGCACGTTAAATATTGTTTGAACAATTATTTACTCAAGCTTAGAAGCCAATGACACAGTTTGTTAGTAATAACTTGAGCTTAGTATTCCTGTACTCTGTTCAGCTAAGGTGTATGCGGATTAGTAAATTTTGACCGTACATACGCTATACAAATTAAGAAATTTTAAAGAGCAGCTATTCTTTTCTCTTACAGATCAGCTGGGAAAACCAGAGTCACAGTTGCCTTCTCCTGTGAATTCGTGTCCCCTGGCTTGTACTCTGAATCTAGAACTTATGAAGCGTCGATGATTATATCTGTTGTGCCTGATCTCCCTCTTTCGCTGGGGACTCCTATGACTTGGGTTCTTCCGCCTTTTTATACATCATCTAGTCTATTACCTTCATCTCTAGAACCACAGAAGCATAGAGATGGTCAAAGTCACAGAGGCAATATAGTCTATTCCATATTGAAAGACTGTAGCTCTCGGGCTGATTTTGAACGAGATACCATATCAATTAATGGCGGAAGTGTCAAAACGACAGATAGCAACAATGTTGCATGTATTCAAGCCAAAGACCGCACAAGTGGAAGGATTGAAATTGCTGCTTGTGTGAGGGTTGCAGAGGTACTTTAAATGTGGAAGTATATATAGACTATCTTTCAGGAGGAAATGTTATTGTAGATGATCGTTGTCTGCTCTAGTTTATAGCCACTCGATTCGTTATTCTATTAATTTCTTGCTTCATTTATCTTTTATTTTCTACTTTGTTAGTAACATAGAATTCTTTCAGGTTGCTCAAATAAGAATGAAGAGTGAGGGGATCCCTTTCCATGTGATAGATCTTGCTGTTGGCAGTGAAATTGAACTTCCAATAAATTACTTTGACAATTTAGGTAACGCTCTCACACATTTATGTGGATGCTTCATTTTTTGTGTATTTGTTTTGATTTCTTATATCTTTGGTTTCGTTTTAAAAAGGAATCCCTTTCCTCGAAGCACATGGAGTTACTACATACAATGTCGAAACCAATCACCGTGATGTTGTATCTATTAAGACTGTCAATGACCAAGCAAGTGCCTGCATTAAGGTGTGTTAATCCTTTTTATCATTTGAGACATGTTGTGCGTATATAGCATACTTAATCAAAAAGTTAAGATTTTTGATGTACATTCTATCTTCTGTATATAATGAAGGGAATAAAACATGGCAAAGCTCTCATTCGGGTTTCCATTGGTGGTAATCCCAGGAATTCAGACTACGTTCTAGTAAGGACCAATATCATGAAACGAGTTACCTACCTTTATAAATATTCTCTGTAAAAATGTCGTATAGTTATGCATACGTCTGTTATGATTTTCGCAATTGGCTATATCGGTGTTTTCTTTTGTCAGGTCTCAGTTGGGGCGCATATCTGTCCTCAAAACCCGGTCATTCACCCTGGAAATTTCTTAAATTTCAGCATAACAGGTAAATTGTCAAAAATCAAATCTACATGATAAAGGCATAATGCCCATTCGGTAAAAAAAAAAATAGATTTCTTGCAAAATTTAAATACACTTGCAATGTGATTTAGGGGCGGATCATCAAGTCTCTGGTCAATGGGTTACATCAAACAGAAGTGTCTTATCCGTCGATGTGGCATCTGGCCAAGCTAAAGCGATCAGCCAAGGCTTAGCTCACGGTAATATCGATTTAATATTTTCATGCTTTTTTCTGTGCATTAGTTGGATTTTCAAAGGACAATAAGAGATAATCTTTATCTTGCTGTTGATCTTTGTCAAATCTGCACAGTTAGATTTGAAGGTCATGGTTTGAAACTGCAAACAAAAGTCACAGTGCTAACTGGAAACACCATATATGTTGACTCTCCAAGGGAAATACTGACAAATGTACACGTCCCTGCGGAAGGGTATAACTTTCCAGTGAAATTCAGGTCTGTAATCTCATAATGTTGCATTGTAAAAAATCTATGGAACAAAATAGTCACTGATGATATAACTGCAACAGGGAGAACAAGTTTGCTGTCTCTGATTATGGAAACAAGGCCATGTTTAACTGCCAAGTAGACCCTCCGTTTATAGGGTATTGCAACTTATTTCAACTATACTTGCAGTGATTTATGTGTGCGTGTGTATATATATATTGCTTGTTTTTGCTTTGACATTTATTGTTGCATTGAAGATACGCAAAGCCATGGATGGATCTTGGTACTGGCAACACTTATTGTCTTTTCTTCCCATACTCACCAGAGCATCTGGTTCACTCCATGACTAGAGAAAAAGACATGAAACCTCATGTGTCCTTCTCCATTAGTGCTTCACTCAAAGAAGCTCATCATGTTACGGGATCTGCATCTGCACTTTTTATTGGAGGGTTTTCTGTAACGGGGCCAAACAAGGTTAATCAAGTTTCTTTGATTTCTTTGCTTTTCTGAAAGAGTATCGTTAAGCAAAGCTATATGTGCTTTATGTGAGTTTGACCTTGAAATATCTTGCAGCTGGATATAGGCCCGAATTCAAACACGACCATCATTTCAATACTGGGAAACACCGGTAAATCACCATATATCCATTGGTAGTTAGTTTTGTTTTTCCTTTTTTTTTCTATACAGAAATGCAAAGGATACTTAATATTTACTCATTGCAGATGTTCAAATTCACTGGCGTAACAAAAGTAGGTTATATATCAGCTTGATCAATAGGGAAGATTTTGGTATCGCAGGGCATGCACTCTACAAGGTAATTTCTCAGTTAAACCCTATCTATAAGTTCAGTAATCTAATCCCATCCATACTAGTAAAAGATCAATAATTTTGTAAACTATCGATATTCATCCACCTTTTTCAGGTGAATGTGTTAAGATCAGAGCAATTCACAGATAGAATCCTCATTACTCTCCCTGCTACTGGTAAGCTACTTCTTATTACACTGGTTATAGGCTAGGCTCTGGTTCTTCAACTTATCACGTTATGAAATGTTTTCTACAGGCCAAAGTGTAGAAATCGATGTCTCCTATGACACAGACGAGTCCCTAGTAGCTTCGTCTAAAGATGGATACTCTATGTTGTTCAAGCTACTATGGAGCGTTTTGGTGGTGACTATATCAGCGATCATCTTGTTGAAAGTGATAGATAGACCAGGTCCAACAGGAGCTACTAGAACTGCAACAAACGGTGGAGGTGGAGCACCAGGAACACCAGAAAGAAGAAGCCCTGCGGTTATATACCACGAGGAATCTCCTAGAACTCCATCACCTTTTATGGAGTATGTGAAGAGAACAGTTGACGAAACTCCTTATTACAAAAGAGAAGGAAGAAGAAGGTTCAATCCTCAAAACACTATGTAAAAAACTAAGATGATGATGATTTTGTTGCCAGTTGGAAACTTTGTTCATTAGAGATAAGAACATCTTTTTGTTTGTAAACCACCAAACCCAAGGCCTGCAATGTTTATATAATGTGTGTATTGTCATCGAAGGATCTGTAATTTGTCAGATATAGGCAAGTTATTTAGGTTTATGAGTTATCTATAGAATTCGTAATCTAGGATTTCGCCATACTCATAGAAGATCAAAACCGATGTTTCCAAAAAGGGGCCAGGGAAGTAAAGGTGATTCTTTATGATCCAATTACAAGGTAGTTTCTTATTCTCAAGCTTTGCTATTACCACTTTTGGTTTTGGTGGTCTTTAAAAAAAAAAGTTTTAAGTTCTGCAACTGATAAAATGACTTTAAGCTGCCCTTCTACTGCTCTTCTTTGGTGCTGTTTTGATTGTTTTCATTTTGCATAAGCTAATAAATTATATATGTTTTTGGATTAAAGGTATGAAACAACTTGTATATTAAATAACACATACTGTACATACAAGTTGTTTCATGAAAGTACATTATACAGTACTAAGAACGAAGATGCATGCATCCTCCTAACGTACATTATACCAAGGACGCATGCTACGTTTGCACGCATTGTTATTTTATTTTTCCCGAGAATTTTCTTAGGAATTAAGCATCCGCCACGGTGGATCTGGCTCGAGCTGGCGCTGCCACCTCCATCTCGGCCGTCAGGGTTTTTTCTCTAAACCTTTTCTTGATATCACTCTTGTAAAACTTCTTGGTTCGGATCACCAAAACCATCGAGACCAATGCACCGAACAACGTTATGGCAGTAATTATTATAAAAGACAACTTAAAATTAGAAGTGCCTATGCAATTCAAATCTTTCCCATCCGTACTCGTGTTCCCTAATGCCTTATTTTGCTTAGCCGCCTCCACGTCGTACAAATACCCTGCTACCCAAACCTTTAGCAAGTAAGACCCGATCGGGGTCGCGAGTGACCCGAAGTTATACAATGTTGCATAGTACTTTAGACCAAAAACCTCGGAAATTATAGCAAGTATAAGCGGCAGTTGCGCGCCGCAACAAAACCCTATGATGACTGATGCGACGTAGAGTCCACCGGGAACATTAAAAGCGATGAGTAGGTGACCAGCACAGGACAAAAGAAGGACCATTGTGAGCATTAATGGTCTTGGGAATTTGTATTTTATCAAGAAGATCTCAGAGACCACACCTGAAACCACACGACCATAGTAATTCCATATACTTACGAGTGAAACAAACGTGCTTACACTTCTCTTTGGATAACCAAACGAGCTCCCGATTTGACCCAAGTTGTCTATAGCCGTCAAGGTCCCTCCTACACCACATATCGTTGCTAAGAACAAGATCAACATGTCTATGCTAAACAACGCCGTTCTCACCCTCTCCTCCTCCTCCTCCTTGTCTGACGACACTTCATCTTCTTCTTTAACCTCTGAAGAATCTTGTAAGTTGGATTTCTCAGTGACGATGTTGACCGGTGCTGGATTGTTTAAGGCGACTTGTTTCTCCGTCCAAAGCGTCTTCTCTTCCAAGACGACAACTATGATGGGCAAAAGAAGCAAGACCATCATCACGGCGACGCTACCTCTAAACTCACTATGTGTGAAGCCGGAGAGCTTGTTTGTGATGATGACTACCATGAGAAACGTCGCGAGCCCGAGCGATATGTAGAGAAAGTTGTACAACACCTTTAGCTCGTTCGTCTGTCTCGTCACTTTCATTAATCTTATCGTTCTTAAAAACGCAAACGATACTATTGCCGGCAACCAACCTACAAATACAATCACTCATCAAGATTCATATCATAACCATTGGACTCTGTTTTTTTGCTCTGTTTTACTCTGTTTTGCTCTGTTTTATGTCATTAACCATTAAGAGTGGTTTGGTCATAACCTAAGGTCTTCTTGATATCGCCTGAGTAGATACCGAACATGTAATTGGCTCCAGCCGTTGACATGATTAAAAGACTCCCAAAGAACATGAACCATCTTCCCGTTAGAATCTGGATGGCTAAGCCCTTCATTGAGCCACCCTGAGTTCAACGCAAGAGGAGATGGAGATGGCTAAGTTTTGACTACTGTAGGATGGAGAAGAGAAGGGATATAATAGTTACATTTATGGTAAAGATTGATAGCTCTTACAAAATAGTGATAAGATGGATTGTTCATAAAAGACCGCTCATATTAAGTTGTGTGGATGGACTACGTTAGAAGAGATCCCTAGTGTGAAAATGTGTATGTATATTATATATCCATGATGTATTTTCAAAATATTGTGTTGCAATTTTTTTTTTTTAACAAACTGTTGTATTTGTATTGCAAAATATTGTATTGTATGCAAAATACTGCGAGAGAACTCATCTTTAACAAAATACTGTATTGCAAAAGTTTGTTTTAATTGTCTTCATGTATTAGTTTTATTGCCATAATGAATTCAAATGTTCGAAATTATGTTTTCAAGATTGTTACAAACGTTTATAAATAAAAATGAAGAAAGTAATAATATGATTGAAAATGATATTTTGAAACTTTTTATCAAAGTAAAAGCGATTGTAAGTGGAGAAGATACATAAGAAAGAGTTGAATAAAAAAGAGACTAAATACTAAACATATACTCCCACTTTTCCAAATTATAAGATTTTTTAACCTTTTCAATTTGTTCCATTTTATTAGATTTTTTTTTTCAATTTTGTATGCACAATTTATATTAATTTATTTATTTATGACTATTTAAATTTTGCAATATTTTCTTCTATTGACTAAGCTTTTATAAAAATGATACTCTTTCTGTTTCAATTCAAGTGTCACTCTATGTTTTTCACAAAATTTAAGAAAACCATTATTTTTTTTGTTTTACCCCTTATTAATATATAATATAATTTTCTTATTGGTCAATACATTAAATTGGTATGGATAAAACTGGAAAATTTACCAAACATCTACATTGAAAATAAAACGACACTTATTTTAAAACGGAGAGAGTATCATCTTTATTATTTCTTAACTGTTGTGCTTTTAAACAAAACATCTTATAAAATGGAATAGAGGGAATTTTATATAATTTTGAATTATTATCACTTTCATTTGAAATAATTTGACATCATTACATATGATTTTTGATAATGATAACATTAAGAATGATTTTATAAATTATTTGAAACTTCCACAAACAGGAACAGGTATACCACAAGCTTCTAAAACTTGTTTAACAGAAGTCTTATATGGAACAACCAATGGATCTTTCAAGTATTCACAAAAACATGACTGATGAGCTTTCAATGTTGTGCAACACTCCGTCGACGGTGGAGTTCCTCCTGTAACCGCTGGTAAGCATACTCTAACATCTTTGACGTCGCAGGCCGCCTCTGATTTGGTCGGAGCCAGAGAGAAGAGAACAAATGCGATGAAGACTAATGCAGTGAACTTCATCTTTCTATGTAGTTCTAATATTTTATATTTGATTAGGAAATGGTTGAAATGTTGATTATGAGATTTGTTTAAGGATGGTGAAGGTATATATATAGATGTAGTATTAATTAGCAATGGGAAAGTGTGTGTGTTTTGGTAGGATATTATGTATTTTTAATTACATTTTAGTGCCAGTTCATATTTAAGTATGAGACATTCATTTTTGGAATTAAATTACCAAATTTTCAAAGCATTGAATTTTATAAGTTGAAAATATTAAATTATGGAAGGAAATTAAAACCATCAAGGCACACATGTACCAATTGGATTTGTACAATTTACTAATTTATATAGAAGTTAAGTTAAATATAAATAAATGATTTCAAATCTATAAAAATCTTCAAAGATTTATTTCTTAAAGAAAAAATTGGAAAGTAATAAAACAAAAAGAAGTAAAATATTAATTTTTAAATTTATGAAATTACACTATCTTTTTAATCTTTGACTACAACAAAATTGTCCACTTTAGTCCATATACATATAAATTGGTCAAAAACAACCAAATTTATTAATATATTACCAAATTTCTTTGCGTAAGAATAAGATTTGTTTTTTCCTAAACATAATCATAAAAATCTTTGTAATTCTCATAACATCAAAATAATATTTGAAATAAGAATCTTTGTAATATGAGGTTATCATAGATTCATTACGCAAAGGATCACTAGATTCTAGTTTTTTCTCCAAAGCTATTCTTTAACTTTTAGTATCAAATAGGTATTTTGATGTTCCAATTCAAATACTATAAAATCCATCAATGTAAGAGAACATAATTCATACATTTTTCTTTTTAATATACAAATATCCTTCAAAAGAAGAATACAAAAGCAAAAAAAAAAAAAAGAAGCCAAAACTTTTTGTTCCAAGATAAGAAGAAAGTCCCAACATCACTACCATGGATAATATGGAACTAAGACAATGTCCCGTTGACGAGTCTCCTCTAAAATATACAAAAATCTCATCAAAATGCGATGCATGCTACAAAGATCACGATGAAGACAAGCAAGGCTACAAATGTGATCTCTGCGGGTTTTGCATCCACGAGAAATGCTTCGACGCCAACATTCCTACTCATCATAAACACCCTCTCAAACTCATCAAAAGTCTTGTCAACAAGTTATGTTGTTTTTGCGAAACAGATAAGATTCCTCGAATACTTTATCAATGTTCAAAGTGTTCTTTTCTCATATGTATCCCTTGTGCAAGACAACCTTTGATCATTCACCACACGAAAGCCCATGAGCATGCACTTCGTCAAGTACCAATAAAACTTCCCTTCACATGTCACTACAAGAAAAGTGAATCATTGTGACTTTTGTTAGAGACTAAAATATATAGTCACAAATTTGTGACTTACGTAGATACAATTTTGTAACGTATTTTTTTGTCATAAATTCGTAATTGTTTCGTCACAATATTATAACGAATAAAGTCGTCCCGAATTTTTGTCTCAAGTCGTGACGAAATTGTGTCGATAAAAACTATTGTAACAACTGTGACGATTTTATTACCAATATGTACTTGTAAATCGTGACTTTAATTTGATACTCAAAATTTGTCACACATTTGTGACTTTTTAAATACTAAATTAAGACCAAAATATTTTGTAACAAATTCGTAATTATTTTGTCATAAGATTGTTACAGATTAATTAACTCATGTAAAAGTTTTCTCAA